CTTCAGCCAGTGCCCAAACTTTTCTGAAAATTGGCACTATATCACTGGATGACCTAAGACAGGAGCTCTCCTCTGATGGTTCACTTGAATCTGCTGCAAGCACTCAGCAACCATGGGCAACCGTAATAAGGAGGTGCTGAACAAAAGCTTTTAATTAATCCAATGTACAACCCATGTACCTAGTGGAGTGCTGCAGCAGAATATATTTTAAAAGCAAAGTGAAATAAGTTAAGAACTCAACAATCCCACCCACCCCCCAAATGTAGAAGTAAAAACTAGCCTGACAGAAGCACCCAAGAGTCAGATGAAGCCCACTCCATCCTAGAACAGAACAGGCCTTTTATCCTCCTAACGCAAACTTCTGGCCGCTACCCAATCCCTACCCCAGGCATCATAAGAACTGAGCTCCTAATTAGGTTGGTCTGCTTCCTGAGTGACCCTTACTATTATATTTCAAAAACCAACCAGAATTAAAACTTGGTAATTTGCTTCCCTCTTGCACTAGCCATCCCCTCTTGATCCAGCTTCACCCTCTTGGCTTTCCATCTCTTCCAATCATCCACCTCCCACCGTCTGTTCCTCACTCTCTCCTGCATGTTTCAGAGCTGTACTGCAGAGCTCAGGGGTCCTCCTGGCCCATTTTCATCCAGGTCCTCCTCTAACCTTCTGCATGGGTTCTATCATAGATTTCTTCTCTTCTTACATCCAAGCTAAACCAACCAATCCTTGCCACCATCTTTTTTCATGCTGTTGATTTCTTCCCTCGGCAACCTCATTATTCTTCCTATTCTGCCATCACCTCACTTGGAGCCATATGGAACATTTGGGGGAAGGAGTGGGTGACAGCAACTGTAAGGGATACTCTTAGAGCTGTCTGTTACAAACCTCATTTATCTGCCCAGACTTTCTAGTATTTAGAGTGGACACTTCTTGTCCTTACTGCATGGATACTAGAAGGCCTCTGCAGCCTACTGATATTCCAGAGTCTGCCGCTGCTAAGGTGCATTTGGAACCACTGATCAGCAACTGTAGGAACGTGATGTTTTTCAAGTAGATCTTTAACTAAAATAACAGATGCTCTCTCAGCTAGTAAGTCAGTGAATGACACGGGGCAGTTGCAAAATCAGCCACTTCTGCTGGCCAAGCAAATCCCAGCCGGGTATAATAATATGCAAGGAGAAAATGAAGACGGCTGTTCATCTGTGATTATCTTGAAGAAAACATCCTGTTCTCTATAAACAGATCACTATTTTCAGGTGTGAAATATGAGGAAAGTATACAGGGTGCCTACCACCATCAGAAGACTTATGCAGACTATCAGTTTCTGGCAGAGCTTTCTTTGCTAAGCATCCAGGATCAAAGCCAGAGACTGATGAAGTTTACATATAAGAACTAATCTTTGTTTCTGTCTGACTAATTTCAGACAAAACAAATCCATGGAGCGTTCTCAGAACAGGGAGCCACAACTTTTCCCAATCCGAGTCATGCATTTGGCTTCTTGGTGTGTGCAGGGAGTCTCTTTGCCAAAAGGAAAATAGGCCAGGATAAAAACTACACCTGTCTGTATGGGCTTCCACCCATGTCTCAGCACTCTGCACACATTTCTATGTTCCTTGCTTCTAGTCCATCTCTTGTCAGCCCTTTTAGGTAGGCAAAATAAAGAAACAGGGGCTGTTAGATGTCTTGAAATGTGCTATATTGCAGTTAGAGTCTTTTGTAACAGTCTTGAAAGCCTGCTAAAACTTCAGTTTATACATAACACAAAAGGTGGAATTGTTTTGAGTTTCTTTCAGACTTAAATATATTTGTGATAAGGCTGGACATAGTCCTGACCTTTTTCTGAATCAAACTCGTACTCCATCACACATATTAACTCAAGTTCTCTGTGCAAATTATAAAGTTATTAAAATTTGTGAAATCATAAATCAATGTACAAAAAGCAATGAATAATAACACTGTGAAGTTATATACCGTATGCAAGCCACCTAAGAGCAGAGCAGGACTTTCGAAGCCAACTGATTTGAAAATAAAACAAATGCCTTAGAGAAGAGAGGTGTCTTTCCAGGCACTGACAAGGTACAAGCAGCAGGTGGGCTTCCCTGCACTCCACTCCTAAAAAGGGATCGTCTCCTCACCTGGAGGAGGGTCTCCAACAGTAATGGAAGAACCCGAGCAGATACATGAACTTCTGGTCTCAAATTATTCAGGGCTTCAAAAACCATCTTGAACTGGGTTGGGAATTAGGCCAAGAAACGAACGGGCACCCAGTGCCATTAGAAGAACCGTAATGTTATATGGATCCAATGGATAGCAGCCTCTGGATCCAATTCAAACTAGCTGAAGTGTGTGAGCTGTCCTCAGGGGGAGTCACACATGAGCTGCAGTTTAGAGATTCTCTGGTGTGGAGCCGTCTCTGCCAAGAAAGAGTGGCAGCTCCAGGTAGAAGATGATAGAAGATTTTCCTCACCATCAAGATGAGCATGGCAAGAGGAGCACAATTTTTCCTGAAATAGGCTGAACACTATCCAGATGAATATTTGGGCCTTCTACCAATTATTTCTGCCTTGCCTGGAATTTGTTTCAATTTTCCCAGTCTCACCCAACTATTTGCTGTGCTCAGGCACCAGCTCAAGACATAAATGCTCATAATTACAATGCTTAATGCATTGTAAGCCGCCCTGAGTCTCCGGAAAAGGACGGCATATAAATTGAATGAATAAATAAATAAATAAATAAATAAATAAATAAATAAATAAATAAATAAATCCCTTTTTATGATCTTGTAATCCCTTAATTTGGGGTAGAGTCAAGGTGGCTGGTTGGAGAGGAAAAGCTGATGCAAGGAAGACAATTCAGCCCCAGATCCCTCTGTAAGATTTCCTACAGCCTGTTGAACCTCAGCCTGAAAAATGTCATGTCACTAAGAGATAACAATTAATTCCTCAGCATCATCTTTTGGTAACAACTAGTAACACAAGAGGAAAATTAAACAATGGAGTTGGCCCTCCCTAATTCCAGTGGTCTAGAGAGGGGTCAGCAACCCGCAGCTCTGGAGCCGGATGTGGCTCTTTCATCCCTCTGCTGTGGCTCCCTGTTGCTGGTGGGCTCCACAATTGATAGGGCTTTCGTTTAGGACAGGTAGAGGAAAAAGGATACCACGCTAGGAGGAGACTATGATGGGGGAACAGGACGTCTGGTCAGCTCCAGAATTGAATGGGGGCTTCCAGTTAGGACCTTTGTGGCTCTTTGAATGTTTAAGGTTGCCGATCCCTGGTCTAGAGAAACTCCATAATTAAAATCATTGTAGGCACTAAGTGTTAACAGAATAAAAGATTGGAAAGGACATTGGAGGTCTTCTAGTCCAACCCCCTGTCCAGGCAAGAAATCCTGGCCTATTATCATTTTGGATAAACAGCTGTCCAATCTCTTCCTAAAAGCCTCCCATGTTAGAGCACTCCCCGCTTCTGAAATTATTCCAAAAGAATTAAGCAAGGGGTCCTGTAGAATCAACAAAAACACATATTCTGGGAGCTGCTTTTCTTTAGTCCCTAATTAGGATTCTGACTCCTCAGTTCTTTAAATTCTTTCTCACCTCGAATAAAGAGGGGCACCTTTGATCAAGGATCACCGCTTGTCACCTTTCTGGTTTTCCTAGGGTTTTGCCGTAATTTTCTTTCACCAGGCCTTTCAGATTGGCTGGATGTTATTATCCCCAACTGCAGAGGGAGGTGCTGAAGGGATAGAGCTCTTCAGAAAGTGAATTGTCTGGAGGCTGCAGGTCCCGCTTAGAATAGAATAGAATAGAATAGAATAGAATAGAATAGAATAGAATAGAATAGAATAGAATAGAATAGAATAGAATTTTTTATTGGGCAAATGTGATTGGACACACAAGGAATTTGTCTTTGGTGCATATGCTCTCAGTGTACATAAGGAGAATAAAATACATTCATCAAGAATAAAAGATACAACACTTAGTGAAAGTCATAGGGTACAAATAAGCAATCAGGAAACAATATCAATATAAATCGTGTTTGTTTTATTTTTGGGCTGTGCACCGCCCTGAGTCCTTCAGGAGAAGGGCGGTATAAAAATTAGATTAAATAAATAAATAAATAAATAAATAAATAAATAAATAAATAAATAAATAAAATCGTAAGGATACAAGCAACAAAATTACAGTCATACAGTCATAAATGGAAGGAGATGGGTGGTGGGAACAATGAGAACGATAAGCGGCTGCTTGTGCAGAGGGGGCAGTTCAGAGCAGTTTAGCACCACATCTTTCAGTGTCCTTTTAAATGAAATGCCATGTGCTCTTTATTTTTTTCATGAATGAACTCTGATGACAGGAGACCAATTAATGGGGCAAAGGGCAGCATCCTGTTTTCTTTTGTGATTTAGGAAGAAAAGCAGTTTTATGTTCTTCAGAGCAACCTTTGATAGGTTATTCTGGGGCTTTATATTTTTCATAGTATTTATGCATACGTGTCTTGGGGATGCTTGAGAAGATCAGTCAAAAATGAAACAATTAGTCTCATTGTTGCTTGTAATCATGGCTTCTCCTCTACCTGGAGGAGGAACTTAATTTTTAGCCAACTGCTAGTTCTCGTAGAAGAGGCTTCCTTCTCCCACATTCTGACGTGAGGTTTATCAAGGGTGGCATTTAGCAGAGGTTAGACACAAACACTTTCTTGTCAGTTTCAAAACTTTGCCCATATCAGAGAATGCATGTAGCTCAGGGCTGAACTCTGGATTCTTGATGCTTAGGGCTAAGCTTAGGCTGGCAGTGCTGCTGTTGCCTGGCCTGGTGATGAAATATCTGCAAAAAAACAATCAGACTCAAAGAGCATCAAGAATTCAGCTGCCCAATTCACTTTATCCATTTTATAAGAGCTTGGGAGTTTTATTCTATAGACAAAAAACAGAGTCCATTGTCCATGACAGACCTAACTTAGTTCAATTTGCATGGGAACTAATCCTACTTCCTTGTGCTTCAGGTAACCCCGTTACTGTCGGAATGAGCATCCATATTTCGAGCATTGATCAGATTTCTGAAGTGAATATGGTGAGTATAAATGACAATAACAAAAGCATTCTTTTGGTGAATTCCAACTCATGCAACCAATTGAGCAAACCCAATTTGAATTGAACAGGGAGGCATTAATGCTCTCACTGGCCTCACTTGCAAACAGTTTTTAGCCAGAAGTGAGGTATACCAGAGCATGGGAAATGCACAAAGCATGTGTTCAAACATGGGTATAGTGTATGGATTTCCAAAGAATGGAAAGAATAGAATAGAACAGAACAGAACAGAACAGAACAGAACAGAACAGAACAGAACAGAACAGAATAGAATAGAATGACAGAGTTGAAAGGGACCTTGGAAATCTTCTAGTCCAACTCCCTGCTCAGGCAGGAAACCCTACAACACTTCAGATCAATGGTTATCCAACATCTTCTTAAAAATTTCCAGTGTTGGAGCATTTACAACTTCTGGAGACAACTTGTTTCACTGATTAATTGTTTTGTCAGGAAATTTCTCCTTAGTTCTAAGTTGCTTCTCTCCTTGATGAGTTTCCACCCATTGCTTCTTGTCCTATCCTCAGGTGCTTTGGAGAATAGCTTGACTCCCTCTTCTTTGCAGCAGCCCCTGAGCTATTGGAACAGTGCTATCATTGTGATATTGTATAAAGAAAATATACTATTTAATGCTGTGCTTTTGCCATGATAATTATTTGCAGCAAATTCTATTTTATCTTGATGGCAAATATCATACAGAAAAAGACTTTTGAAATATGACTGAAAAACCTATCTTCAGTTAATAAATGATCTTGCATTGTATTGACAGCCAATGAAGTACTACCTCTCCTTTCACCCCACACTACCTTTTGCTCTTGTGAAAAGGTTCTGCACCGAATTCAGTGTGGAGACTTGTTAGAATCTACCATCCTCTGGGTGGGGCTAGAATAGATGCGAAAACTCCCTCCTGTAAACTCGGTGGAAAGCTTTGTGTGCTTCTGTCAATGGAGCCCCTCTCCATTGGGGTATCCACGAGCAGAAGAGCTGGTCCTAAGAAGAGGCAGGTAGTTAGAAGTCCTATTCATTCTGCATTGAGATTTTCTGAAAAATTTCCATAGTTATCTATGGGACTAAAAGTAATAATTTTTATATACTGATACAAGAACGTGTTGATCACCTTTTCTTGACTTGGACATCCTTTCAAAGCTACATAAAAATCTGTATGTTTTCTCTGATCTTCCTAGTTTATATTAGAAAGGAATTGGGACTAGTCATATTTTTACGGGCTGTCCCTAGATTTCAGTCACAGGAAGATGTGGAAGTCCAGCTTCTGGCACTTGCCTAACCTTGCAGTCATTATAATATATTTAGGAACTGTGTCTGAAAATTAATTATTATGCAGATTCAAAATGTTGAATCCCTTCCCCTTCTACCTATATTTGTATCTAATTCCATCCCAGGATGGAGTATTAACAAAGAGCAGTTTTTAAGCCTTAATTTTAACTGATTTGAGAAAAATATTTACAAGTTCAGATCCAGCTAATAAGGCAGAAGTTATTGGTTGATGGAAGAGTTTGTTTGGGGTTTTTTTGAAATGATTTTAGGTGCTAATGTGATTGACTTATCTTTTATGGAGTACTATAGTGGACACTAACCACCAAACTCCAAAAGGGAAATTCTGCAACTTCTTATTGATTGCTAAATGATTCATTCCATGACCAGATCTACTAAGAACAAACACAAGTTCATTCTAGGCACTGCGGTTGCAATGGTAGGAGAAGAGCTGGCAATTTCTTTGCTGTGATTTATTTTGAATGGAACAGTTCTTCACTGGGACAAAACAAGTTAAAATATTTCATTTGGATGGGAGAGCCCATTCTTCTGCATTGTCTTTTTAAAAGCAAAGGATATCTTTTTAAAGGTGAAAGCACTTTCACAAAATAATGAGGTGTTCAGTTGAGAGAGATGCTGGTCTGAAGTTGTTCCGTGACTAGTTCTTGTTTCTCATGAAAGGTATGGTTGACCTAGATCTTCCTGAAGTGAGAAAAAGTGAGGAACTTGAAATGGAGTTGGGAAGAATAACAGAGTAACAAAGTTGGAAGGGACCTTGGAGGTCTTCTAGTCCTTCTGCTTGAACAGGAAACCCTAAACCATTCTGGACAAATAGCTCTTCATACTCTTCTTAAAAACCTCCAGTGATGGAGCACCCACATCTTCTGAAGGCGAGCCTTTCCATTGATTAATTGTTCTCATTCTCTGGAAATGTGTCCTTTGTTTTAGGTTGGATCTCTCCTTGATAAGTTTCTATCCACTACTTCTTGTTTGGCCCCCAAGTGCTTTGAAGAATAGGTCCACTCCTTCTTCTCTTGATAGCCCTTCAAATATTGGAAGACCGCTATCATGTCACCCCTAGCCCTTCTCTTCATTAGCATAGCCCTAGACATAATAGATAGTTCCTGCAATTGTTCCTTGTATGATTTAGCTTCCATGAATGTAGCTCTTCTCTGCGAGCCTCACCTTCTTTTTGTATTGCTGTGACTAAAACTGGGTGCAGCCTTCCAAGCCTGGTCTAACCAAAGCGGCATAAAGCGGTACTAACATTTCATGCAATCTTCGTACTATCCCTCTGTTGATGCAGCCTAGGACTATGTTAGCTTTTATTGACACAAATGTGTGTTGTGATGCAAATATGATCTTGACTTAGCTGTGTGTGATGTCCTGATGAAAATACAAAAGGATGGAGTTGTGATGTCCCAATACAGCCTCCTCAGTGCAAATGTTGTGATATTAGCCTAGTATGAACATATGTTAATTCTTGAAATCCTGCTTCCAGATTTAGCAGGAAGCTAAATCACATTTGCTCTAGTCTTTGTAGGGGGAGCTTTCCATGTGGAAAGATACTACAGAAGATTCAGGAGAGCTTAACTCCCCTTCTCGGTATTCTCGGCTTGGCTTTTGCTTTAGATGCCAGGTAGCCTAAAAAGAAAGCAGACGGTCATCGTAAGGTCAGCTTGGTAAAACACCTTGCTGCCTAGAGTGGTCAGCAGGATGCCCCTCCCCCCAAGAAAGGAGAGGGCCACAAATCTTCATATCTAGACAGATGGGGTCCTAAGAAGGAGGCTCAAGGAAAGGAGCTCACTAAGAATCTCTTTGCTTCTCTTCTACAATCTTTCCCGCTGATAGTCCCTGTCATTTCTTATGGCAACAAAATCAATAGTCTAAATATACCTTGAGAAAGTGACTTCCTTGGATATGCTACACATCATGGGTGTCCAACATTTGGCTAGAGCGAAGAGGAATTGTCTTGGGCTGCATATAAAATATACAATATAGTTAATATATATTAACCCTATACGATCCCAGTACCTCAGTAAAAATCTTTGTCAAATTGCTGTAGGATGCAGCTGCTGCTGAGCGATGGATGGGAGGCCACCAGGTGCCACAGAAGCTTCATCTTGCACCGTGAGGCTGGGGATTTATGTAGAGTCCCTCAAGGGGTGCCAGTTGGGCTGAGTTGCTATGGAGACAGGCTAGCTTGGATGTCTGCATGTTTGGAAGTGCTGCTGCTGTACTGCTTTCCCTGGGACGTTTGTTGTGCTGCAGAGCATGTCTGGAAGACAGAGAGGTCCTGGGTACAAGAAATTCAGAGGGGTGTGTGCATATGTGTGCATGTGCGCCTAGGAACTGTTCCGCTGTTGGAGCACTCAGATCAGAAAGCTGGTCTCACTCTTGATAGAGCCCAGAGGCAGCCAGGGAGCTCTGTTGGAATAAGATGCTCCAAATGCATTTCTGATTTCCTTCTTCCTCTTCTTTTGTTTTTGCCTGCTAAGTGTGAGGAAGGGGAGGCTTGGCGAAGGGAGGGGACCACTTAGGATTCCAAGGCAATAAGGCGTTACTATGCAACAGGACAAAGGGATGTAATAAGATTATGCAGCCCCTTCTCATTAGGTGGCCCCAGGACAGGCTTAGGCACCTTCATCCTTCCATGCAGAAGGCTTGGCCATCCCTGGAGCCTGCAGATGCATTTTCCTGGGCCAGCCGTTATCCAGTTCTTTCCGGCAGCTCTGCATTCCCATCTCTGTAACTTCTTTCTTACCATCGTTCACACAGAGTTGTTTTTTCATACCTCTGATTAGCATAATTCCAGAAAAAATTAAGTTTTAAAAGCGCTGCATTTTGGAAATTGTTCTCTGAACTATCTTCTAGGCAGGTCTTAAAAAAAAAGCTTTGCAAAGTCAAAACAGCAGTAAGGCCATCAGTCTCCTCTTCCTCCTCCGACAGAAATGCAGAATGAAGATCATATTTCTATCAAGGAAGGGAATTGAGCCTTTGGGCAGACCAGAATCTGGGCGAACCCCACCACCTCCCACCACCCACCCACAAGAGACGAAGTGCAAGCAGTGCGAAGGGAAGGCAGGCACTGAGGGGGAGGCACAGCAAAAAAGAATGGCTGTATTCGTACAAGTTGCTTAATCAGGGCAATAAATAATCCCACAGCTGCTCAGACAATAGGTCACACTTACTGTTTTTTTTTTTAAAATGGCAGGTTTGCCCGCTTATGTTCCATCAAGTTGGTGTCATCTCTTGGCGACCGCATAGATTTTTTTCTAGTATGATCGGTCCCCAATCTGGTCCTTCAGTTCTTCAAACATGCACCCATTGGCACTATAATCCATCCACCTGCTTCTGGCTGTCTTGCTTATTTCTGCTTTTTCCAGAATCACGGACTTCTCAAGGCAGCTAGATCTTTACATAGGCCCAAAATATGTTGGTTTTGTTTGGAAAAAGCAGTGCGTTTTTGAGCACCTAGAAATGAGCAAACCAACTAGTAGCCAGCATGGATTTATCAAAACGAGATCATGCCAGACCAGCCTTAGTGCCTTATTTGACAAAGTGACTAATTTAGTGGATCAGGGAAATGCTGTAGACATAGTTTAGCTAGATTTCAATAAGGCACTGGATAAAATAGGCTACTTCTTGGCAAAATAGAAGACAGTGGGATAGGCAAAATCACTACTAGATGGATTTGTAACTGGCTGACCAACT